ACTACTACTACTACTACTACTACTACTACTACTACTGGGAAGGTCATATTCTACTATTGCTTCTTGTTTTTTGACAATTCCTCCCAAGAAGCTGGTGCTTTCCCACCAAAGCCTCTGCACTTGCATGTGGCAATTGGTGTGAGAAATTTAAAAACTTGTGCTAGTAGATTTTCCCTTCTCGGAAAAAGTGGAACACATACCTACTACTACTAGGATCAGTGTGCTGGTGCAATAAGCAACTAAATTATATTATATTTAACATACATGGCGCTGAGTTGTGCCGAGGATAATCTAATACTCTCATCACTGCAACCATAGAGCACAGTTTATACTAATGTCTGCTTGAACCAGCAGAAGTCTCAGATGCAAGGGTTTATGTAGTTTGAGGTTCGCTGAATTCAAAAGATGTAGAATTTTCTACAAAAGAATCCTTCTCATTGTATGACAGCAAAAGTGTTTCAGGTGTTTCACTCTCTGGTTTTTGCTCGTGGTAAACATCAGGAGACATGAAAGTAGCACTCGCTGTCTCCTCTGTTTGTGCCCTGGATTGGAGGGCAGGTGAGTTTAACAGCAAAAGGTTATTGCATTGATTGTTACCGTGGGCAATATTTTTCACACTGTTGATTTCAAAATTGCATACTTTTGATGGGCCTTTTGCTTCGTCTGTAGTTGATTTTTTATTTGTTGATTGACTGGGAATCCAACAGTCTCCTGGATTTGTTTCACTGATGTCTTCACCTGGTAATGAGTTTGTCTCAGGAGAGTTGACATAATGTCCCTCTGATTTTGGAGAATTAACCAAAAGCAGATCCAGTATGTGATTGACATCGCCTATTTCTTCCTCAACGCTGTCCTCGCTTCCTGTTCCCTCAGACACTTGGTTCTCCTTGGAAAGAGGAACTGAGAAAGTTCTTCCACCTTTGTCATGATTCTGTAAGGCGTCCATCCCTGCAAACGATTTATCAGGAACAAAGTCAGGAACTACAAGGTCAATAGCATTGGTTGCATTCAATTCATTCTTGGAATATGTTTTTTCAGTCTCCAATGGCAGTGAAAAAAAGGACAAAGATGGCTTACAAACATTGGCTGATGTCTTTTCAATGCTGTCTTTGCATTTTTGAACCATCTTCATCTGTGGAGAAGGAGCAACCAATCCCTCAAAAATCATGCTGAAAGATGGATGATCTGCATTTGCTGAAGGGGGAGGTGGTACCAATGATGATTGCGAGGTGGATGCTGCATCAAATCTATACTCCAACATCTGACCTGTCTTCAGTATGTTACCGCCCTCTATCTCACCAGAGCCATTTGACCTGGAATTATCAACAGAAGATGCTGGTGATGATGCTGGTGATAATGCTGGAGATGACTGAACTGTGCCCTTGAATGACTGTTCATCCGCATCAGGCAAGGGGGGAGGGGGTGCCAATGATGATTGCGAGGTGGATGCTGCATCAAATCTATACTCCAACATCTGACCTGTCTTCAGTATGTTACC